CAGACGGGGATGCTGCGAAACCGGGCGTCGTCATTAAACTTGATTGACAAAATTAATTACGGGTTCGTTCTGGTGGAACTACCTGGATGGTTAATTGTTAGAGAATTAGGGTAGCTGCTGTCGGTAAGCTCGGTGTTGGAACTCTAAGGGAAACGTGCCGATGACGGCATCAATCAGAGGCAACTTTTAAGTAACGATGGATTTACACCTGCTTCGATCGATAATTGAATTTGGAAAGCGACAGCAGCATCGTCTACGTTGGAATTTTTAATTAAATGTTCAGTCCTCCGAATTCTTCGAATCTCTCTTAGTGCGCTCGTCCTTCGCTTAATTATCTCTGCAAATATATTACAAATGAATAAAATGAAAATAATTCAAAATATATGGAACAAAAAAATTAATACATATACATCAAACAGATATTACAGTATGAATATACTTTCATTTATGAACCAAGAAACGTTGGATTTTATTAAACAGCTCGCATTTTAGATTTATCAAAAGACACGTAAAACGAGCCCGTTCGTCGAAACATCGTGCCGAAAGGATGAAAGAAAGAAAGAAAGAAAGAAAACGGGGGCGAATAAATAACCCAGTCACACTTTATTACGTGCATTATAATAACGGACGAGACGTAGGCGGCCGCAGCAGGTGAAATATGACTCCTGGTTTTCTATTAGAATTCCGAGATGTCTGTGTTGTAGCAGGCACCACAATGGACGCCCAGCGACTCGCTGCATTTTAATGCTCTCGCGCCCCTTAGCGTCTGTCATGGACAGGTGACGTTCCGACCTTCATCCAGTGGTGTGTCCAAACCCAAAATTGGTTTATACACAAATAGTGCATACAATTTATGATACATGACATATTTTGGTAGTTATTTTTTGAAATTTTTCTCGTATCATTTTGAATTTCTTAATCTGAATATGATAAATCATTATCCTTATAGTTGAAATCATCACAAATTAAAAATTTATAATCACAGCAGCTTACATTAAACTTTATTAACTCCGTCTATAAATTGTAAATGAAGTAGCAAAGACCTCAACAGAATTGAGTATACGAAAATCTACGTTGAGCACATCATTAAAGTATGGAACTCGATTTGGTTGTATATCAAGTCTCTGAAGTTTAGTGTGTGTGGAGAAGAAATCCAACCGAATAAAAGATTGTCTACAAAGGACAGAAAGTAAATCTTCTCCTTTGATATAAACTAATTAATGGCAAAACTGCACCAACCTGAAGGAAATTGCACAACATCAATACTTTGGATTGATTCTAAGAAAAACTTCAAAAAGCAACTAAACGCTTTCAGAACAACATCTAAGACTCCTTGAACACTCTTACAATCAACACAATATATTAAGATATATTTTGACCTCATCATCTTGAGATAAAGTTTTTTTTTTGTTTTAATATTGGTTCAATCACGTTTCAAAATAAGGGAACATCTGGTGTCGTAAAACTTAGCGGAGATAGTATAATTTATTACCACAAATTCTCGTCGCTAAACATGATCAGTGAAAACTTAGTTTAGAGAATTACATGTGGGTCGTAATCTGCATCCAGTATTGATCCTACCATTAACACGTTCCGGTATTCCTGAAGGCAGGGGCCATCTGTTTAGCGGATTTGCATAGCAGAGCGTAACGTCTGGTCCCAGAACTGTGCCCCTGGCTGTGCACTACGCGTACAATGTAACGCAATTAATAGCTAAATATAATTTCGAAATTCGTATATCTATCGATTATAACCTGAAGCAATTATAACCATATAATGAAAATAATTTCTTTCTGTTTCAATCTGCTTCGCTGGATGTGAAATGAGCGTACGAATGTTTATAGTCGCGTATTTCAGCGTTACGGAATGGTTGGAACACTCGTTACAGGAAGCCATGAGGTGTGTATAGCCCTCGCGACTAAATTTAATTAAAACACCCCGGAAAGAACGTCGGTCGCTTGTCGTCGGTAGTATTCTTTAATAGTCCCGGTGATTAAACAAGCACGGGTACGGAAGACATACTTTAATGTTAACGGTGTCGCGTTTCGGACCCACACCGGAAATGCAAAGCAACGTTGGGTTCCCCGTGAATGTGTTGCTCTCTAACTGTCCGACCCTTATCATGGACGCTGCTACAGCTGCTGGAATTGATGTTGTTAAATAGAGACCGGAATACCAACTTTGGGGAGGAATTTTATTTGAGACTTCTTCCCCATCCGTCATGTAGCTTCCTGGGTAGTTTTATTAAAAGTACGATTTCTAGTACGTTGGCTGTGTTTCAATTCTTATTTAAAACATAGTTGGAGTGCAACCAAATCTATTTAATATAACAGAGGGATGTTGTATCATCAACGTTAGATACCGTCACATCCGACAATGATAAATTACCTACTATTAATAGGTAGTAGTACTACATAACAATTATACGTAACCATGAAATTAATAATCAACAACGCCTAAAGCTGGTTACAAATGTTATAGAACGTTTTAAATGTCACAACCTCGAGTTAAATAACTGGGAGCAACCTAATTATTTAAATTCGATTATTATGATCCAAGGTTAAGGAGGAGCAAGTATTTGCAAGGTCTGAACATTCTTATTACTTAATACATTATAAATTAAAATTTCGATTTGCGTCTGATGCAAATAAGAAATGGAATAATTTCTTTTTGAAAAGTTTTTCATCCAGTTGACTCTTAAATGAAGATAAATACTTGAGACGCGGAAACGAACCGTAGACAAAAAAAGTCGTGGTTGGCCCAAATCTGTAAAAGGGTCGCCCGGAAAGTGGCTGGAATACATTTTCATTTACACGCCCCACAGCCTACATAAATCTAAATAGGGTGGCCCAAATCCCATTTCGCCACTTAGCGCGAGTACCTAGATAATTTCTCATTGTAAACGTCGGATATGCCTTGGGATGAGACGCCAGTTTTGTACGACCCAAGACAAGGGGAAATGGATGTTGGCGTTCTCGCGGATGTAGCTAAGGGTGAGTATGTGCCAGCCACTTCTGGCACAGACAAAAATAACGAGAGGGTTGTATGTAATAGTACTATTACAGCGATGTTGGAAAACGAACGGTGGCGCTGTCGCTGTTGTAATTGTTTTATGTCTAAGGAAGCGCTTTGTGGTGTTCACTTTGGAAAGTCACCGTAATTCCCACTTTCGAGGTTAATGCTTTTACCTACCTCTTTCTCGTCCTTAACGCCCTTAACTTTATGTTAAATATGTTTTCTCCACAAGATAAGTTGAGATTAAATTGCATTATTAATCAAAATGCTGAAATGATATTTATTACCAACTTTTCGAGACATCATCCTTTTTTTGCTACTAAATTTTTGATACCCTTTTAATCAAACTAAATGTTAGATGTAAATAAAGCGGAAGTATTTTTTTTTGTAAAAAGAGGGTCTTTAAATGCCTCCTTTGGGACATTACCAGCGGGGAAAACGTAGTTTCCGTCCCAAGAAACCCCGTAATCTCATTTCCCAAACGTGCTACATTCCGATCCCAAAGCTTCTGAAATTTTCATCCTCCTAAATATTTGTCGACGAGCTTTATACATTAGAAACTACTAAATCCTTATAGTTTATACACAGTAATATTCCTCAAACTACATTCGGAATTATCGATCTGTTTACTGAAATGGAATATTACCGTGAGACGATAAATTCCATTTTTATTTCAATTTTACATTCAATTTATTGTTATAGGTACTTTTTCTAGATATTCTTTCAAAACCTTCTTTTATTGAAACGCATTGTTTTTATAGGTTATCGTAAAATGTAGTGTCTCTTAGCTCGAAACTTCTTTCAATATGACAGATGTTTCTATATCATTTAAACTTACCTGTTTTATAAACTTTGTGACTTTCGAGTAAATTTTTATCACTCAACGTTTATATCTAATATAATCGTCACCCTCCAAAAAAATATTCGTATTTTGTTTAATCTCTGTAGATGATGATTGAGAACTTTTTTTGAAACTTGAAATATAAATAGAAAGAGAATTTACCGTCTTCAAGCTGCTTCTTCCAGAGAAAGAGAGCGAATCAAAACTTTCCTTAACTATCTTAAGCGTCGTAATTCAGAAAAGTTTCGAGTTATGTGTAGTCGAGGCCCCCTTGCTCAGTATCCACGACATTATCTTTTATTTATACACTCTTGAGAACTCCGGGGATCCCTTTTTAACTCAATTTTATTAAGAGTAACTTGAAAAAGTTTTTTTATTTTTAAGGATTTGAAAATAAAAATAAATGTATATAACAACGAGCTGTTTATTTATTTATATGATTATTTTTTTAGCATGGGATTTACATTTTGGGTAACAAATATTCATCTTCGTTTTGTTTAGAGTACAACAATTAGAATAGTTTTTATACTCTTATTCTCGTACTTTTTTTAAGTCAACATTCTCCTCTACACAGAACCATTTCTCTTAAATACTTACATAGATAGAAAACACCCGACACAATAAAGAAAAACGAGATTATTTTTGATTGTTTTCTCTTTTTCGGTTTGTTAACCGTGTTTGCGGTAGATTTTTATTAGAATGAATCGACAACAGTACACATTAAATATTTCTTTTCGTTTTCCTTTTTGGTTTTAGTGAACTATATACATTGTTTTCGTTAACACAATGGGTTGTGTGCTAAACACATAATATATGTTTTTTTTTGTTATTTTTCTAAATATATATAATATACGCTTTTTCTTCACTTCTTCTCGGCTCGACAAGATAAAACGCTTTTTTATATCCCAATCATTTAATCCTTTTTCCTTGAAAGTTTATCACAAAATACCCTTTTCCGAACGTCTGTTTTAAAATATACACTCTTAAACAGTATGTTAATAGACTATACAATAATATTTTCTATCCTGTTTCATCCATATTTATTTAAGATTCACTTTAGATTTTTTTTTAGATATTTTGAGTTTTTTTTTTAACTGGATGGAATAATTAACAAATAAATATTAATGAGATATGTAAAAAATAACTAATTAAAATTTAAATACATCTTAAAATAAAAATTTCGGAAATACAAAGAATTTGAATTCACACTACTGGGTTATTACTATTGTTGTTATTTTAAAGTAATGTTATATATTATATATATTTACACCGTATATACAGCGCGGAAAAAACCTTTCTTTTCCCCTATTATTTTCAGACTTCCCCATGTCTACGATGATTGTGAACCTTTTACACAAGTTTTCCATTAAGCGGTTCTCCCTTTATTGTTACCGCATAACGATGGCGACCAAAATGACGTAGCTGATCATGAACAGAGCTCTTGGCAATCTGGAACCTGGAACAACAGACAAAAAAACGTGAAAGCGAACCTTTTAAAAGCACGGTTAAAAAAATTAAATGAAAACACCAAACGCGGAGAGAGAGAGAAAATGTAAGAGAGGAAGTAGTAGCAAAGCTCTCGGTCTACTGGAAATTATTACCGCAATCCTCGGGCGTTTGTTTTCCATCCAGAACATTTTTAGGGCGGCCATCTGCAAAATTAAATATCTCAACCAAAAATTTAAAAAAATCCAAAAAATATTTTAGACCGATATAAAATTTAAATTTATATAAAATTTAGGTCATTAAACGTCATGTAAAAATAGGCTAAAACCTTCTTGAGTACAAGCTTTTCGTTGACAAGTACGAGGACGTAAAGTGCAAAATATGGCTCGTTTTTCGCAAGGAGCTTTAAAAGGGTCGAAGGAGACACGAAGGCGTAGGAACGAAGGCATAAAGTAAAGCCCTTTATAATCATAACGACGGCGACGACGACGACGAAACTAGGCGAGACCGAAGAATATTACTTATTTTGAGAAAGGGAAAAAGATGAAACGGAAAACGGTTAAAAGAAAAAGAACTGTTTACCGTGTCCCTGATGGTCTAACTAACTAAAAGGTAGATATCGATTCGAAGTGTTCTAATGGAGTAATTATCTCGGGTTAATGGAAATTTTACTTCGGCCAACAAAGTTTTTAAGTGAGTACTGAGTTAAGTTCTCGAGATACAAAGGGCTCTTAGGGAGTAGTTATGTTATATTATAGTTCGGTTGGGGTTGAAGATATTATCTCGTCTTCGAACTCCCAAAAAACAAAAACAACCCCAAAAAATCTAAAAAATTCTATTTATCAATACTTAGTTAAAGCAAAAAGCTTTTAATGTTCTCTCCGACTTTTAAACACATAAACAACGCCCTATTCCAACGGAAGTATACACCCACCACCCAAAGACGTTTCGAAAACATGTTTATCGCGCATAATGGACGAGAAATCACCGGCGACATTGTCGCGAAACGCGTTTTAGTGCCGAGACGCGTTTTTCCCCGGGTAATAAAACGAACGAAATTATTTTTTTACGGCAAACTCGACGGACCCAACCCAACAAGAACTGACGGTGAAACGAGCCGGCGAAAGAACGTGTCTCCTTTAGGAGATAATACGAACGTAAAAACTCGCCGTAAACGTAAGAAGTAAACCCGAGCGCGAAAAATGACTACGACTGTCATTCGTACGTGGTTGTAAACCAACGTAAAACGTAAGGGTAGTTTTACTATCGGGCAATATCCGGATTTGCGGTTGGATTCTGGCAATTAATTAAATGAGAAACGAGTCATAAAATAGTTTGATTGTTTGCATACAAGTTTATTACAACAATGCATATGTTACTTTACAACAAATATGCAAGATGATATTCAAAGCGTCAAAACAACAAGATGCATGAAAACTAAGAAATCAATCATGGCACATTAAAATTGTAGTAAATTTGCTTTAAAATGCTTTTTTACAATGTTATGTAAAGAAATTTTAATACAAAAAATTGAAATTACGCTTGTGGTAATACCATGAGGTCTCCACGGTTATTATAAGGGTTAAAAGTAATTTTCGATCCTTCCTCATGGTTCATGGTAGATGTCTAGAATAAATTATAATCAGAGGGTTAGATGGAATATTTTTAATGGGAAATTCATTACGGTCGATGCCTCTTAAAATGTTAAAATCTAAAGGCATAGTGGACCTCTATGAAATTTTAATTAATAATAACGCAATTCCGTCGTCGTCCTCGGTCGTATTTACGTTTTGAATTTCCTTCCGCACTTTAAATTGGGCCCAAGCCTTTCGAACTTTTTCGTTTGCATTTACTGCGAACGAAAATTTCGTCGTCGCAATGGTTAATGTGGGACAGGAAGCGGCTGCTTTTTAATTAACATCTTTAATTGGTCAGCGTACGACGAAGGCATTTACATTTTATCGACGATGCCGCTAATTACAGAACGTAAAAAGCGTATTTTTAAAAGTTGTATTTTTAACTTCTAAAGTTAAATTGAAATTTTAAATTTTTTGGCTATTAAATAAGTTGAGTAATAATAATTGATATGGTTATAATTTGTTTAATTAATATAAAATAAAATAAAATTTAGGAAATATTGACAAATTCGATATATAAATTTAATAATGTAGTTTTATTTTTAATTTTCGGTTCATTTATATTACTGGAATATTTAATGTGCATTATTTACTGTGGTAAGCTCTTATACAAAATAAACAAATTTATTTCAAATTATATAATTGGAATTTTTGTAAATAATTCCTTTAATTGGGAAATTAATCCATTAATTTTTATCAAATAAATACAAAATATTTTATGTGCGCATTTTAAACTATTTATTAATAAAACATAAAGCTTTCTGGTATGTGCAAATTTGTTTTGAGAAATAAAAGGTGCTTTAGTAATGTGATGAAGTGAAAAATAATAATAAACAATATGTTGTAATACTACAAAGCATTATATTCACAGAATAATTATATTTCTCGTTTGATATGATGAAAATTATTTCGGACTGTCAAAAATTCCATTTTAATTTTAATTAAGCGAGTACATCGATAAATTGAAAACAAATTGTAAAAGCACATATTAAATGTAAATATATCATTTGATAATTTTAAATTATTAAATTTATAATCTAATCCTTTCGAAAATCTTTTCATTGCGAAACCATTCAAACATTGTTATAGTATCTTTTGAAGAGTAATATTTAGAATTCTAGGCAGGTGTGTGAACATCATCTAGACCACTCGGCGTTCCCTTAAGGGTTCGCTACCTGGTGCCGTCAAAGAAATTCAATTACCTTACTCATCTACCGTAAGTCTGTGATGCGGCGAAGCTCTCGTAAGAAGAAGAAGACAAAAATGGGATGATTTCCCGGGAGGACACCGCCAATACTGGGCGGCAGCGGCTTTGTGCCCTCCACCCGGCTCTTCGTTACGCCGTTTCCGGTCTCCTAATGTCACTCGCCAACTTTAATAATAACGAAAAGACAGATTCCACTCATCAATTTCAAGTTCCAAAAGTCTTTCACGTTTCTTTTTCCGCTCGATTTTATTCTTCCTTGGGGACTTTCAAGTCCATTTCAAATTTTCAGTATCACCTCTAAATTTCTCAACAAAATTAATGGATTTAATTTCCGTATTTACCAGTTTTAGAATTATTTACTTCGTTCATTAGATACATACATGCGTTTAGAATTCTGTTCAGATTTAGTTTGCAATTAAGAACTTAATAATTTCGGCGCATAATAACCATTAAGGGTGGAGTTTGCCCGAGGTCGATGCGCTGTGCAGAATTTAAAACCGGCCACCAACTAATTCGCTGTGCCATCGCAGTATACATGACCGCTAATTAACCTACATTTTACGTGAAGCTCTAAACGACCCTCTCTAGTTTTGCGTACCGCACCAGTTCATAATAAATCCTCCGACATTTACGAAGAATTTTCCATCTTCCGTTTTCGCACTTTTTATTTCATTTAAGAATACTTTAATGTTCTCATTTTGTAAAACACAAAATTTAATTAGTTATTAATTTAATATTATGAAGATCATTTAATACCCTGGCGAAGTTATAAACGAAGACGAAAAGGACAGTAAAGATGTAATGAGGAAAGTTGGCAGAGGAAAAAAAGCGATAAAGCCAATGTATTCGATTCTGTGGAACAACTAACTAACGATACAAACGTATGGGTCAGAAATGTGGGTGAGATACAAAGACACAACTCAAAGACTGCTAGCAGCAGAGATGATGTTTTAGAGAAAATGCTGCGGCATAACCATGCTGGACCGAGTTGAAAATGAGGAAATAAGAAGAAGAGTAACGACACAAAACTCAATAATAGACACTATAAATGAAAAATAATGAATAAAGAGAGAATCCCACTTAAGGTTTGGAACTGGGTGCCAAAAGATGTATCCAGGATATTAATGTGGAGATGAAGAGGAGAAGATAAGGACCGCTGGCGGTTAGGATGCGAGAAGCAGCAATAAAAAAAGCTGCAAATACTCGCCAAATAGAATATCATAGAATAAAGATCATTTGTCTAAATCTTCAAATTTTGGATTTCCTCAGATAATGTAATCATCAATTGGATAATATCAAAGCTGTGATATCAAAGGTATGCGGAATTGTTCCAGAGAAAGGATAGGCGAAGTGCATATCACAGCGTTTCGAAATCACGTATAGGTGAGCGTTCCTACGGTCGAAATTATGATAAATCATCGAACCGTTGTTAAGCATTGCTTTCACGCATGACAAATAATCGCATAACTGAAATTAATTACCATTCCGCGCCCCAATCGACTACTACAGCCCATCGTATAGAGAAATTGTAGTCAACGCGGTGTGCACCGCCAGCAAGCTGTTATTATCGATAATAGCCAATAATTGATTGCTGGATCGCATCAACGCTAGCAATATTTACTGTATCTCGACCAGTCGCCGGCTCACCTATCGCATAAATTACTTCCCCAATATGTCCTAAACGGACAACTACAGTCGCAATCAGCATTCAATCAATTTTGGTATAATTAAAAAATGGTATGCTTAAATTCAATTAATATAATCAAATAAAAAACTGGATAACGTAATAATAAATACATTAAATTTAGCGTACATCTCGATGGATAGCTATAAATTACGACCAATCAAATAGGAGAGTGTAGTAGTGGAAAGATCAAAGTAATTGGACCGAAGGCTGATACGAAAGCGTTGGGTCAGCAGAAATAGATTTATGTAATCGGGCAAAAAGACGTCGAACTTTGCCTCTGCCGCTTCCTGAATCTAAATAGGCGAAACTACTAGTTCCGCCCTGTTTTCATGCTTACATTCGCAAAATGGCGAGCCATCGATCCGTGACAGCATCAGCTTAAATAACTTATTTTTGCCCCCGGGTTTGGTGTTATTTTTTTGTTGCGTTGCGAGCTCGAATCCTCTGTGGATATGAAATGCGATTTTGGAACTAGCTAAATATTGCAAGCGCGGGAATTCTACCGTGTGGGGTTGGTCGCAGGTGGCCGGAAGCTGCTTCTCTCTTCAACTACCTACGTTTCGTCCTTTGATGTTCGACGACCAAGTATGTGAGCTTTGCAACTATGATGAAAGCTTTGAGAACTATTCTACGGTTTAAAACTTGAATATATTTGTTATTTTAAAAATACTCACCCGAAGATGCGTCTCTTGTTCCTAAAACCGATGATGGTCTCGGTCTTGGTTTTTCTTCTTCTAAAGAAACTTCAGCGTAACTTTGGTATAAATTGAAAAACTCGGCTCGGCACCTCAACACCATTTTTCCAGACTTGAATGTGCTACTATCCACTTCCGTTTCCAAACCGATGATTGTCGAGGCAGGTCTTCGCTTCTCACCCACTGAATCCGTCGTCGGAACTGTGGTCTTGAAACTCTCGGGTTCCTGAAAATTAAAGTAAAATTATCCCGAAGCTGAATGGACCGGAAATTGTGCAGCGGGGTCCGAGAAAAGTTATCGGGAAAGAATAACAGAAGACAGGTTATTTCAGAATTCAGAGAGTGAGGTGAAACTTAAAAATAACATTTTGAATATTATCCGCGATGGCAGGTTCTAGTCATGTAAATTCGGTAGCAATGAATTTTTATTAAAACCGCCCTGATGGAACCTGAAAAAAGACTCTTTCTTTGTGTTTGAGTTGGGATATAGGGGTTGTTTGAAAAGTTCTGCGGACAGAAGCAAACATAAACGGGTGTATCTCTTCGCCTGATTACACATGACGAAGAGCACTACAAACCGGGAATTCGTATTTACTCAAACATTTATTCTCAGTGATGTAATGCACCATTTTCTAGTTGTTTTGCGAAGGTAAATAGGACACAAAAGTGAGGTTGAATTATCATAAAATGTTTCCGTCGTACGTTAATCTTTATTGTGTACGTGATGACCAAGTTTAATATGGTATTCAATTTTTAGGGGAAACATCGAGTTCTTCGTTTTCTAATCGTGACTCCAATTTTTCTAGCAGCTATAGCGACAAGCGTTTAGCCGTCGGCTGTGCTAATATTAAGGAAGACGACGGGTAGACACATGCAGACCCAAGAGGAGACCTGCGTCGTAAGACTACGTGACTTCATTATCTTCGCTCGAAGGCTCGCGCTTTCCACACTACGCCAATTCATTTTCCCGCCAGCGGCGACCGAAATGTTTCAACGGTTAATAACGACGACGCGAACATTTTTCTCAATTCCCATAAGTAACTGGCGCGGATGAGGTGCACTTCTGTAATTTTTCAACTTGCTAACCCCGGATCCGTTCATTTTCCCTCGAGAATCGTGGAATCGAAAAACATATTTCCTTTTCCGTGTAAGGTGGATCCATTACCTTTTCATATAGTTAATAACTTCATTTATTAGCGGAACTTGAATCGATAGGTCGTAACATTTTATTGATACTCATTAAATTTTAGAAAAGTTTCTGAACTAAGTCGATGAACTTTTTATATTTATTTTAAAAGTAATTCGTTAAAGTATCTCCAGGCTACCTTTATAGCTAATGAGGAAAGAAATAAGAAAACTAAGTAGTATATATCGTATGTTTGTTACTTGTCCTATTACAACTTAGATTCCAATTAGTAACTTCGACCTACAAACGCTTTAACGGTACATATTCGTACTAGCTCGTTTTACGCTTCATTGCTAACCGCGCCGGTGTGATATGGAACGCAGATCAACGAGACACTGCTGGCACCCTCAACTTGTTTACAGTGTACATCATTTAGTTGTGCGGTCTCAAAAACTGGAAACTTTTAATCTAGAAGCAGACTAAAAATGGAATAAATTTACCGAAAAGATGCTGGATAATCTTTTAAAAGTTCAAATTATAATTATCAATTGAGAAATTTAGGATGATAGTATACATTAAGAGAAAGGCCCTAAGATAGGTCGTCAATATAAATTAAGGAAAGTGCAGAATCTAAAATCGAGCCCTGAAGCACTCTCCTAAACACAAAGCGAAAATTAAGTTGGTCTTGATTAAACTTCCTGTATTGTTTCCTATTAGTTAAATATGACAACAAAAATTATCTTAATGTTTTGTGATGACTTCCTTTCTCTGCTCTCCAAAATAATAGATATGATCAACTTATATTTTTAAAGATAATGTTTCAACAGTTAAAAAGTATATGATTTAAATTTTGGGAATATAAATATTGACTGAAGAGATCTAATTTTTTTGTGATGGTGACGGAAAGTCCCTTAAGCCCAGCGATATCCCGTGACAGCCACATGGGGGAAAACGTAAACAGAAGCGGGACTGCCAACAGCTTGACGGTGGGTTTACACAGGGGCTTCCTTTTTGTAAAAGCGCAAGCTCGCCGGCTGACAGCTTTCACGCAGCTTTCGTCGCCCAGCAGTTTGTTTATTTTTTGCTGCGGCGACGGTGCGCGGTTTGGTTCATTGTCATTGAATTTACAGAGTGTCACTGGTCGACCAAATTCCGTATACGGAAAACAATGGTGGTCAGACCGGAAATTGCGGGGTAGTCTTTTGTGTACTCGGGCCGCTGGAGATTACGTCCGAGTCCGGCGGACGATTTTATTTACGGCAACGATGGACCGACCGTTCCATACCCACATCACACCCCAATCTTTCGAGGCCACATCCGATTTGGGGGGTAATTTTCCGGGAACAAAAAGAGCCGGCCCAACGGAAAAATTGCCTACGTTTTGCTCAACTCGGGAACATTCAAATTGACCCTGATAGCCCCTAAACCGGATCCGGCAAACGACTATTTTATACGACGGGGTCAACTGGAAACTTAAAGTTCGCCCCTTTGATCCTCTTTTACAAGGTTACACGATATCCACGCTACTTAGGTTAGCAGCTACTAAAAGGTACCGTGTTTCATACCCCTTCAAATTCAATAGTCTCTTTTTAACTCCAACACTTTAGCAAAACGTTAAACGGTTAAATCATTTCAGCATTAGGAGGTAGTGTTTAATCGGGATTTATGTCGACGATTGTGTTTGTCACTTTAATCGTTGTAAAATACAACCAACGCTTGCAGACAGCGAGAGATGCGCTGCTAAAATGTTTAACCGTGATTAATTAATGACCGAATTAATTCTACCATTACATGATCCCGCAGTGGTCCGAACAGAGATGGTCCGGATGGCATTGCCATTTCGGTTAGCATTTTTATTCAGTGTTAACACAATGCAAAGCATCATGAAACCACTTCACTTTACTGAATTTGAATTTAAAGTGGACAATTTTTCTAATTTCTACATAAAACTTTTTAAACCAAATCCACAGCTTCTACTGCTTTAATAAATTCACCCCATAACTTTGCAATTAAGTTTCTGGGATCATGCGAGGAGAGAGCTTTCCCAGAGGGGTTCTAACCCAACTAAAAAAAACGTAAAAAAAGAAATAACACATAGGCGTCCGACCCGCATCCCTTAAAACTTTTCTCGGATTAATTCCCGGAAGCCATAAACTTGGTTTTTATTTTGTAACATTTTCGTTCCGAGTTGCTGTGTTACTAGAACTTTACTGATCCGTCCACATTTTAATTAGGTCTCTCTAGTCCTCAAAACTTTTTGTGGTTCTAATAGCAGCACCCACGAAAATGAAGAGTTTTAAAAATCAAGTACTCACCTTTTTTCCATTTAAATACCATGTTAGGTTCATTGCTGGATATGAAATTGGCGAACTACAGTTTCCTCTCAACACATAATTAATCTCGTAGAGTTCTTTTTCTATGAAAACTTCGGGTTCTCCCATTGGCGTTTCTGGAATTAATAATAAATTCTATTTTATCGTTTTATATTTAAATTAATTATTGGGAAATAAAAAGCTAAAACGATTTTATTAGTTTATTGGATGAATAATTCGTAGCGCTAAAATTACATTCCAAGCTATTTTTATTAGCACATAAATAAATGAAGTCGGTTAATCGTTTATTGGTAAAACATTATGCCAAATGTCCACGAATCGGCGATTCGGCAATTCGACGATTCGTGTATTATTACTATTACAATAGGAGAGCTAAAATGATCGCATAAAACTTGTTGTCGCGGTGTTTATGTTGCATATTATGGTATGAACACGTGATTTATAGGTCTAAAAATACGGTTCGAGTAAAGCTTAGCACATTTTACGAACGCGGGAGGAGGATACGTTGGTGTATATAGCTCGTGGATGAGGGGAGTTCCCCTTAAAGTCGACATATTTACGAGGCTTATCGGCAGCTACAAGCCATATTTTCGCGTCGCTAGTGACACGACTAATAAGTTTTTTCGACAAAAATAGAACGAGAGTTTTTATCTCAACCGTAGCGGTAAATAACGTTTATGACGGACTTCAAAGTTTTTTTAAAACCGTTCTGCTTCGGAAAAATTCATTAAGATATATCTACCAACTTTATTTGACGTGTATTACGCTGCGGGTGCTCTTTTTACTTTCTACTTTTTTTACGTTTAAAATTAATCATTATTTCACACTGCACCGAATACATCATGTTTTATTTCTTTTACTTCTTTTGCAGGACTCGGAAAGGTACCCTTCAAGTTTATGTAAAGCCGACATAATATACAATGGCCTTCTTCTCCCGGTTTGCCAAGGGGAAGAGGAGTGAGTAATGGCAGAACCCTCTCTAACGGTTAAAATATGGGAGTCCCAAAGGCTGAAAGCATCTCCACGTCAGTCGAAATCGCCTGTCGTTTGTTATTAGTCACCCTCTTACGCGGGGCGGAAAGCCGTCGCGGCGGTGACCTCTTTCGTCCCGGTTGGACATTTATAAACATTGCAATATTTTACCGGAGAAGGATTTTATTGGTGCGCGAAAAAACTCTCGGGCATTCATTTCCGAAATTCATAAAGCAACGAACGGCCACCGGGTTATTGCCTAGATAATCGTAACGGTCTCGGCAATAAAAGTCCAACTGATATCGCGACCAGCGCACAAAAAGGACTTTTATTGCGTCGGAAAAGACATAAATTTGTCTACGTCAATTGTAACTAGAAACAAAAGTGACGATATATCTTCAAATTTCGTTTTCTTTTTCGACATTTTCTTCGTCTACGTGGTCTTTATTTACGTGAATTCACATTAAGATGGTTGAGACAGCTTAAGTGCATTTTTAAGTAACCTATTTAACACTATCTTAAAAAAACTGCGAAACGATCGCAACAAATTACTGATATATATTAAAATAAGAAAATATAAGCGAATGGGATGAAAACTTACAGTTTGTTAAAAAGTGTTTCGTTATTATTGATCGAGGCGACATCCCACCCACTCAGCTACGGCGTCGCCAACGCTTTTTTTCAGTCTTTTCACAGATAAGTAGCTTAAATATGTATTTATAAAGTTATATATATTATATTTACTAGAGTCAATGACCGCAAGGTAAAAACAGTTGAGTGATTATGTGAAGTAGAGGAATTGATCGAGGTCATTAACTAATAAGAAGAAATCTTCCAAAAAGTTGAAAAGTTTCAAGGTTGATACTGCTTGAAAAATCTAACAAGAATGTGACCAAATAGGTTTATTGTATTTTTGTATTAGCAAATCTCTTGATGTCATCAGTCCATCGAGTTGATAGCCTCCCGTTACTCCATTTGTCAGTTCGAAATCTCTATTAAACAGCTTTTTCGTCCACCTTTCATCTGTCCTTCGGACTACGAGTCCAGTCCAGTTCCATTTGAGTCTGGCAATGCAAGAAATGTCGTTTGTAACATCTGTTTTTCAACGTCTCATTTCTAACGTGATCTCTTAGCGATACTCCAAGCATTGATCTTTCCATTTTACGCTGTGTTGTTCTAAAACTGTTGGCAGATGTTATGGTCAAAGTCAGCGTTTCTGCCCCATAGGTCGCACTGATCAAACACTTTTCTTTTTAGACGTATTGGTAAGTTGCTCTTAAACACATCTCTGAGTTTACCATATGCTAATAAATCCCATAAGAAGATTATTCCCCTCCTTAGTTCGCAAGTGTGGTTATCTCTTGTGGTTTTAATTTCATGGCCAAGATAGGTGTACTTATAAACTGGTTCAATTTCCTTTCTTTCATTCACAATGTTTTGGCTGGGAACTGGATTGGTCATAAATTTTGTTTCAGAGATATTGATTTCCAGACCAACCGATACACATACTTCCTTCAGCTGACGCAGCATCAGTTTAATGTCACCGAGATTATCAGCGGTCAACACAATGTCATCCGCAAAATCCGGCTGGGGTCAAAATCATCTGGGGATCAGGTTGGGTTGGATTTTGGATGTTGTATGAACAATGTAGTCTTTGGTTAGACGTAGTGTAATTATTTACTTTATTAATAATATACCACATTTTATACACGTCATCATTCTGATGTTTTACAATTTTTGTAATCTGTTTGTGTCCACCCCAGTTCCTTTTCTCTGCATTGAGCTTGACCCAATACACACGGATGTGAAAATAATTGATATCTCCCTCCTTTAGTTACACCACATACAAAGGAAAGTTGGTAATGTGTTGGACAACCTTTTAAGCATTTTTCAGGAATAGAATCAATCATCGAAAAACCTATAATATATACAATTCATTTTCAAATCAAATAAAAAAATAATATAATTTAATTGTTACCTGCTGTGAAAACCAAGAATGTAATAATTAACATTGGCATATTAACTGGTTGTTACAAAATAACAATTGATTTAAAATTTAAATTTAATGACTTTTTTTATTGGTGTGAATAAAAATGATAATGGAAATCTTTCCATTATGTTAAATTATCGTTTTGTATATGAATTTTATTCATAAGTGTTATGAGAAAAAAAAACATATTTTGAAGAACTTTTGTTCTATTTTCTTGAAAATTCGCCGAAGGGAGGAAGATTACGACCTGGAACGTCCAGGATAACGTTTCCCACAGTAGAACGGTCGTCGTGAAAGGTTGCTGGGGCCGTCGTGAATGGGGCATTATCTCTTCTCAGCGAGTACATTACTCGGCCACCTTTCTTCTTCCTCCTCGAACGACGTCGACCGACCGAATTTCACTCCTGCGCCAGTTGCAATCAACGTTAACTTAGATTTACCCGAAATTACACCGGTTCTAATTTATTATCGACCGCATTTGTAATTTCCACACGGACCCGGAGTTTAAAATGGAAGTTCTGTTACCACCACCGGGGTGCCGCATCGTTCTTCGTTTAATTAAATACGTACGTCGGGACCGCGGTGAGCTTTTTGTAGAAACTGGGATGCCATTAGCCTTGAAGCTTTAGTCAATAGATCCCTAAAGGAAATTAATACTAAAAAACGAGGTTTCAAAAATTTGGTTATACGACATAAGAAGAAATCGAATCTAAATTTGTTGCATCCGAAATGACTTTAAACAATCTTCACTTTCACTTTTTAAAACCTTGATATTAACATTTAAAGAAATCATCTTTTGCGAAAAAGTTGCTATAAATATTCCACAACGGTTTGTAGAAAATCATTCGAAGATATCCTTCCAAAGAATCAACAACCATAAACAAAATGTTTAAATTAGTGAGTTATTAAATTGGTTAATTTTAAAAATAACAAATTAATTTTTTCAGGTGCTTTTCATTGCTTTCGTGGCAGTTTCTAACGCTGACGTCGCGTTTTTAAGAAATAATCAAGGACCCCAATTTCGTATTTTACGTCAAGAACAGAATGTAGATCCATCGGGAAGTTACAAATGGGCTTATGACACCGAAAACGGAATCGCCGCCCAAGAAGAAGGTCATCTCCAACAAAGCCGTACCTCTCAAGAAGCTGGAATCGCCGCTCAAGGATCGTATAGTTACACTTCTCCTGAAGGAATTCCCGTTGCGATTTCATATATTGCTGACGAGAATGGTTTCCAACCACAGGGAAATGTCCTTCCAACACCACCACCAATTCCAGCTGCGATTCTTAAATCTTTAGAATACATTAGAAGTAGTCCTCAACCAACCGGTCAACGAAGATTTTTTAATTAATCTCGAATGATGTGATTCTTTTTTTTTAAATACAATATATATAAACCTAATTAAAGTTTCTTTTTTTGATGTATAAATTTAGCATACATTTCAGATTTTATGTTTAAAGGGAACCGTGGGTAATTACACAGTCCCTCTACTACCTGTAGAAATGTTAAGCTGGGCTTGTTTGTAATTTAAATTAATATCAGGGGTAACGATATATCCGTTAAGGGATTGTAGGGTTGTTGGTTTCGCCTTACGTATATAATGTTTATTCAACTGTAACGCCACGATAATATCGCAGAACAAACAACGACCCCTCGACCAGTAACGGCGGCCGCAAGAGCCTCAAAGCGTACGCAACGTTGACCACAAACGCTGGGTCGAGAGCTTAAAAGCCGACATTCGGAGGACCGCCGAAGGCTCCCCAGAGAGAATAAGATTCTAGATAGAAATCTCTTTTCCATACTCAATCTGAAAACGTGTCTTTGATCGTGCAATAAAATTTTGTATTCAACGAAAAAGGAAAAATTAATTTAGAATAAGTTTTCCGGGAGGTGGAAAGCTGAAACATCTTCGCAAAGGTAATAACTCGGCGACAACAACAACAGGAACGTAAAGCATTGTTGCCGGAGCGGACCAACAGCCGGAAGTCGGGTGCGAGCGGCGTTCCTTATATATTTCACTTGGAATTGTTTCCCGGGAAGTTCCCCGCCGTGAAAATGCGAACGTCGCGGCGGAAGTTGGGGCCCCCCTCGTTTGCAAATGACGTGCGCAAACTCGGCGACAAACTTAAATTACTTCTCTCGGAGTCATCGGGTTTTATTTAAAGCTATGTATATATGCTACCTGTCTGGTACCTCCACTCGGCTGTTTGTTTCCATCTTTTCAAGGTTTTAGATTTTATACCAAACGACATATTTCAACTTTTCACTTTTTGTTTAACATCCAAATTTGGTATTATCTAACCTCAAACGTTCCATTAAAATCTTAGATGGTTTCACTTCTTAACTCCACATCGTTGTAAGAAAGCGTTTTTATTATTGTTATGTTTATCAATCAATGAAAATTCTATTAATTTTTCAAAAATCTCAGTCGCACTTTTTTATGTTTTTTCCGACAGGAACAAATACACCTTTGAATTACCTTTTTTTTGTCAAAGTTTCGGCTGAAATACGCTGCGGTCACATGTGGCCCAATTGCTTTTCTACCTCGTTGGTCGCGGTGATAAATTCGGGCTGGAGATATGGGTCAAGCGGGCCGGTAGAACGCGGAGGGAGAGGTTTTTGTTACACATTGGAAGGGTGGCGACGACGAAGGCGACGTCCCTGCAACCCCCTAAAACCGCGCCCCCGCGAAATGACCCGGCAACAAAATGCACACGGCGGAAAACCGATCGGCGAAATTGCATTTCTGTGTCCGGTGGATATTGAACGGCGGCGGCAAAAGAAAGCTTCCGAGGTGGTTTTTAGTTCAAACCGAACCCCACCGTTGATGACGACGTTAATGCGGTATAATCGAAGAGTGGAGTTTGATATAACTTTTTTTTCTGATAAACAGTTCATATCATGATAACATCCCTTTTCGTATGCATTCTCACATATTCAAGCCCTCATCATGTTTATCGCTTCTCCAAGTCTTTTCTTCTTCCCGATCTAGATTTTTCGCCCCGAAACGAAAAAATTTCCATAAGATATTCGCGACAGCAGTGGTGGGGTTACAGTCGTTTCTATAAATCAACCCAATGCTCCGTTGCCGAATCGAAAATGTTCTGACCGTCGTATATTTAAAGTTTTGAGTAGTAGTGAGGTGGGTGGCGGTCGCAGCAGCAGCAGGCGCCGTCGTCGTTGTGACAAACGCCGTAACGCCACCTGCCGCCCGTACTACCAAAAGGTCACCCGAAAGGTTTTCTTGTGCTAAAAGCGACTCTGTCCGAAAACCGCCCTACTAACAAAGATCTATGTCTTTAATCAAGAGTAGTGTCCGCAAAGAGAAGTTTTGCCTCCCACCAGTTCGTTCGATTTTGCTCGACCTCGAGGACGTTTGTCTTTTTCTATGCTGTTTGTACGGGGAGTGGGTTTGGCGAATTGCGTTTGATTAATCGACTGCAAACTCTTACGGAATGGATTTATACAAGAAGTTCGAACGTGAAAATCTATTTTAAATGATTTACTATATAAGCAGGCGATATGATATTGATATATGATGTTGAGTACGATTTTTTACGTGAATGTGCTTGAATGAAGAGTCGCTTCCATTTCCAAGCAGTTAAAAGACTAACTTTTAATTAAAGTCCTAGGGGCTACTTTCATTGCCATAATCCTCGACCGAGGTTCAGTCAATGTGCGGACGTGCCATTGCGGTCAATCTTCGGATCTAAAATCTATCGAAAGCTGGGTCCTTTGTTCCCGATACGGCTCCGGACCAATCGGGCATATCCTCTTGATGAAATTCGGTCCGAGGACGAGACCCAAAGGACATCGAACTAAGTTTTCATTGAGGGGGTCCCAACGTTACAGCAGCTAAGCTGGATTCCATTTAAAATTAATTACTTTCCTCGCCGCTACGATATAATCTCGGAGCGTGTTTCGATGTATTATGCATGGAAATTTCATCCTTTTGCATAAATTTTTAGAAGCCGATGATGTAAACCCAAAATTTATTAATTTGACATTTCACCGACACATAATAATCTTAGATAATATCCGAAATTGTTATATGATATATTAGGTAAGTCAATGATTCCAAACATTCATTAAAAACCCTTTAAAACAAATACAAATTGCTATACAAATATTGAAAATTAACAAATGTTGGGACATAATCAAAAATGAAATCAAAAAAACTGTTACGAGATCAAAATATGACAACAAATTTGAAATCCCTATGTTTATTTAATATTAAGGCAAACCGCATTTCTTTTTTAAAGTAAGTAAACAGTCCACAAAAAAAACACTAAGAAAGCGAATAAAAGAGATAACGGTCTCTTTTCCAAGCTACATTAAATCGGCAATAAAAGACTGTCCAGAATAATAATAATATCGTTACTCCGTGTTCTTTTACCGTTCCGGCTCCTTATCGTCTTCGCGAAGGTACTACAGAGGTTTTGGATAAAAGAGTCCCTTTTGCGGAACAAATTAAGGGTCACCGGGAAAGGCTCGCTGTAAAAGTAAAGTTAGTGCGCTCGAAGGATTCGATGGCGGATCTCGCCTACAAACCGAGTAAAAATCTGAAAACAACGATTCTCGGGTGCTAAGGTTCTTTTACCCTTGAAGAGAACGACGCATCGGAGCACTCCGGGATCTATTAAAGACGTTCTAGGTTTTATACCTACGAAGTTTATCGTAAAAAAGAACTTTAAAATAACAAAAATTTCTTCAACATTTAAGCAACTTAACTATCTTATTAGCACAAATTTAAAATAATTAAAATAGACTTTCAAAAATTTCAAAATCGAGGTTATTTGTGTTTCTAATTGGTAGTTTATGTGAAGGTCCCATCAAATTTAAAATCGAATAATTTGAAACACAATGTAGTCTTGAGAATGTGAATTAAAATTCAAAAAGAGTCATCTTTTTCTTATTGGGTTAATCGTTACTGAAGGTAACACAAAGGATAATCTTTTAGAATTGTAAAGCAGATGTCATAAAGATCCAAAAATGAGTTTTCATTTTCACTTGGGCAATCCGAGTGTTCTTGAATAATAATAACGAGGAGGTTCGGCAGGTGTCTTAGATGACATAAGAAGAAACTGAATTTGTTACGGATTAAATTTCTCACTTTCTCTTTTTATAACCTTGATATTGACATTTCAAAGAAATCATCTCGCAAAATTAATTTTTCGTGGTATAAATATTCGAAAAAATTCATTCGAACCAATTCCAGTTACGATGTTTTTTTTTATAAATTAATTTCTTCATTTTAGGCATTTCTAGTTGCTTTCGTAGATGTTTCTTATGCTGACGTAGTTAAGTGACAACCAAGGTCCTCAATTTCGAATTTTACGTCAAGAACAAGAAATCGACCCATCGAGAAGTTACAAGTGGGCTTATGAAACTGAAAATGGGATTGCCGCCCAAGAAGAAGGTCAACTTCATCAAAGTCGTTTCTCTAAAGAAGCGGGAATAGCCGCACAAGGATCTTACAGTTATATATCCCCGGAAGGAACTGCGGTTAACGTAGTTTACGTAGCCGATGAGAATGGTTTTTAACCACAAGGAAACGTTATTCCAACTCAACCACCAATCCAAGCTGCAATTCTTAAATCCTTAGAATATATTAGAAGCAATAAAAAAAATTTTAATTTAATAAATAAGTCTGATTGATGTGATTTTTATATAAATAAAAACATATTTATATTTGAATAATTTTTGGTGTTTTTCTTTTATTAATTAATATTTTTTTTAATTCGAAGAGTTGTTTTGAAAACCTAAAAAATGAATATTAAAAAGTTGACTTAAAAATAGAAAATTTATTCGCTGTATGCCACAATTTTGATTTATATTCAAAACAAGGTGATATATCAGAGGATAAATCAAGCATGGTTTGTGTATTTGTACAACTCGAAATTGAAATTCGAAGAAAAAAAAATGATGTAGTTTATTTTTTGATTTGTTAATAAATTCTCAAGAAATTAAATATCATGAAATTAATTACTTCTCTATGTGAGAGAAATTGCAACTTGAATGATTCATTTTAAGATCTCAACATAGCAAAGAAGTGATGTCTAAAATGGGGAAACTCTCATAAACTCACGATTTATGTAATTTATTTAATAAATAGTTGTATAACAATCAACATTAAAAAATAGAATAATTAATTTAAAATAAAATCAAAGAAACTCTCAAATAATCATATCATAAAAAAAAATTATCTTACATAACAATCAAAAATGTTATCTAAACCATCGAAATTGTATTTATGTGTTATAAATGCCAACAACAAAAAATCGTGTGCGCATTGACATTTCAAGATTTATGACCCGCCCAAATAGAATGGTAATAAATTAGTGAACCGTGTTATTTCTTCAGGAGAAAAAAAGCAGATGACACCGAAATGAATCGAATATCGTATTATGTGAATATTGAACCGCGGCGACCTTGCCGATTGCGAGTCAACCTGAGGATTACAGCAACTTTTTGGTATAAATGGGAAGATCAGATCTTGTGGGAATCAGTTCTAACAGAGAATCAAACCAAACAAGATGTTCAAATTAGTAAGTTAATTGATTACTTTATAAACAAAAACGATTAATTTTTCTTAACTTAGGTAATTTCTGTCTGTGTTTTGGCGATCGTTTCCGCCGATGTGGCCTTTTTAAGAAACAACCAAAATCCTCAATTTCGCATCTTGAGACAAGAACAAGATATTGACCCATCTGGTTCTTATAGATGGGCTTATGAGACTGAAAATGGAATTGCCGCCCAAGAACAAGGTAGTCTTCAACAAAGTCGCTCAACCCAAGAAGCCGGAATAGCTGCTCAAGGTTCTTATAGTTACACATCCCCCGAAGGAGTTCCGGTTAACGTAGTTTACGTAGCCGATGAAAACGGTTTCCAACCACAAGGAGATATCTTACCTACACCACCACCAATTCCAGCTGCCATCGCTAGGGCTTTAGAGTGGATTAGGACTCATCCTCAACAACCAGAACAACCAAAATATAAATTCTAGGTTGATATTTTTTATTGTATAAAAAATGTACATATTTTCTTTTTAATAAATATTAATGATATATATAAATTTTTAGTGTTTTTTGGTTTCCTTGACATTTTTTGGTGGGAATATTAAGATATGTTAATTGTTATGTAACTTTAACAAATTAGGTTTTGATTTAAAATGTTTTAAAGTATGTGTTAATTATTACCTAATTTACAGATTTTTTTAGATATTTTATAACTTTCTCCAACTATTATTCGGCACCGATTTATTATTAAAGATTCAAATTTCAAAATCTACTTACGAACAATAAACATATACGCTTTATCTTGGATGGTATAAAAATTAGGAGCATCAGTTGAAACTTCACATCCGTATCTTCCAGTCATATTCTGTTGGACATTTCTTAATACAACAGAATTAGGCGTTGATTTGCCAATCTATAAAAAAATTTGATTAATTGGAAATAAAATTGAAAATAATTTTTCTTACATCAATATCCATTCCTAAATAAGGAAACACCTGGGTACTAGGTAATTCTTTCGGAATGTATCGAAAGAATTCGCGATCTCCCTTATACCATTTGACCGTATACAGAGGTTCCTCTTCGAGGTCGTAATGGCACTGAAGCGTAATGGTATCGCCGATGTTCGCTGCTTGGGGTATTGTTACGGTGACGTCTTTCAGAGTCAAAGCTCCGCCTGAAAAGAGAAACAGTTACTAGTACTTTAAGAGACGGTGGATGAAAATCCAGGAATATAAAGGAAAAGGCACTCGACGGTATTTTATAAAACGGTATTTGCGGTCGTTGGATTATCCCCAAATACAAAGGATTCTCAAAAATTAAATTTCACTATGAGGCAATTGTACGAAAAAGAATGATAAATATTTTTTTATGTTGAAATGTAAATTCAGTTCATTCAAATTAATTTACCTTTAAACTTTTTATAAATGTAAATTCCGGAAATATTTTCCAAGAGGGACAAAAACTATCTCTAGGTATAATTGTAGTTATGCAAACAGAAGTTGTGTCCATAAAAGGTTGAATGTAATAACTCCCTAACTGCAACAAAGTACAGAACAGCAACTGGCGTATCTTTCCCGGGGTTTAATTTTAATTGTAAATTCTCCCTGGGAGCATTTGCGTCTTCGTTCCCGAGCAATTTTCCGGCGTTTACGATGTGCGCCGAGGAAATTATAGGTCTCCGGTACAAAATTTTTACATTTTCCATGGTAATACACTCAGCTTCAACAAGAAGGGGAGATGGTAAAGATTTTTTCAACCGAGAACAGGTGATGTTAGACGTTAAACCTTTTTTTTTAAGTTAAATGATGATCACCACAATTATTATGATTTTCCACAACGCAAGCAAATTTAGATCTTAAATATAACCAGAATTTCTAAACCGGAACTGTTTTCCCACAGACATATAAGTCATATTTATGAGCTTTTAAGGAAAACGCAAATAAACAACGGCAAGAGAGAAATGCAGCTCCGCCGACAACGAGTACGGATGATTTACTGTTAATAGCTAGGACAACTAAAAGAGATAGAAGAGAAATTCTCCCACGCCAAGTTAAAACAAAAAAAAAATTTTATAAGTCATTCATAAAATACAAGCGTTGTAGTAAAACGAAAATTCGCCACTGTTGGAAAATAAACTTGAAAGTGACCAAATGTTCTTCCCAAATTGGACATCTGTCCGGAATGACCGCACAAAACATCGCCCTGACTTCACACTGCTAAAATTGTCGGGTAGGTTGGAGTTAGAAAGAGAAGTAGTAGTGCTGGAAACAAAACGAGAAATGTGTACTAGGGATGTCACATGTGATTAATGGACACTCAGTCGTCGTCCCGGATGAAATCTCGGTCTTCATTAAACGTCCGAGGGTTTTATTTGGGAGCCAGTTCCTCTTTCTGACGTCACTTCATAACATTTCGTAGCAAAATCCGATTTAGTAGTTTCCATCTACTTAAGTCACAAGAGTTTAATGAACTTTATATAAGGTTTCTTTATTTATTCATTAACTTATAACCGACGAACGAACTTTATTATTATTACAGAGAGTGAGTTTAAGGAACTTTATCTTCCTTTTCTTGTTGACAGCATCTCAATTAGTTTTAAAGTTCAACTTTAACGCTCAATTCATTCATGTTGTTTCGAGCAACCATCGAAACGCAGGTGGAGATTATTTATAGTTTGGACATCTGTTTCTGTTGCGTTTTCATTCAAGAAGTTGTGCACCAGAACAAGAAAATCACGACACCGTGATGAAATTTGTCATGGATCTATTTCCGTTAATGAAGGAAAACAAGCTTGTGCCAAAAGCTATTTATTTTTTTTTTAAGTAAGGTAGTTAAGATTTTAATTTACGGAGGAGGAAGTATATCTTAAAAATATGTACTTTGAAAGAGAAACGTATTTCCTCAACGGAGTGGTATTTATAAACCCCGTCAAGCTTACGCATCAATCATAAACATTGAAGCCGGGGCAATCTCCTCGAAGACTCTTCGGTTCATATCCGAGTTTCACAGGCGACAGGAACCAGTCTAGCGTAGAAGACATAAATTTTTCGTAATAAATCGTTGTATCGCTATTTTTAAAATAGTCCATAACAAATGTTACACAAGAATTTAATTTTAAATTTTCGATTATATCTTAGTATAACGTCATATTCGACACATTAATCCATCACATTCCATTTGTCAATTAGTTGCCAAAAACCGAATAAATCTTTTCGTATATGCACAAAGGTTACATTTAGAGTGGCGCTCGTTTTAAATTGGCCAATTGCCTTTATGCAGCCATACAACTGAATGACAAACGGAAAAGCCGTGAATCGACATCACAGGAATTCGGATTTTTGATCTCTAATGACCCATCAACCAAAATGACAATCATTTTCAATGGATTGTTTTAATAAATTAAACTAAATTAATTTAGAAACTTTCCAGTCGGAAACGCTTTAAGAAAATCCATTAAGAAGAAGAGGATTGTTCTCATACACGGTAGAAATTAATCTACTAAGTGAATTAGGAATTTCGTGTCAGTTTGAAGGTTCCCCGGACGGAACTTGAACTGCTCCTGTTGACAATTGGCTAAAATAACCGCCGTTCTCGACTTCCGGCAGTCTCTTAAGGGAACAATGGAAATAGAAGTGGAAATAAAACTTTTTCTTTCTCCCCGTCTGCATATTTTATACGGTGCGAAACTAATCTTGGACTTTTACTAACTTCCTTTACTCTTAATTTGTTTCGAAAAAATGACGTCAACGACTTGATTTTATTAAAAGTGTTTAAATCTCACAAAGCTGGGTCTTCGTTGATGATTATTTTGTAACAAGTTTTGTGTTTTTGGACTACATGTGGGATACAAACGTAAAATTTATAGGTTTTGTTTCGAATCCGATTGGTACAACGTGTTTCTACACCGACCCCTGTCAAATAAATTATTAAAGCATACAAAGATAAATGTACTCTCGACAAATACACCACGGTTTACAATTTTATAACAATTTAGTTGAAACAAATTAAGCGCTGTGGAGTTTGCTCAACAAACTATAATTAATTATAAAAAATATCATTCGATAATAAATTCTTTTTATTTTTTTTTTAATTAGAAAATCACCCTTTTGGTTCTTGAGATATAATTTTTTTAATGTGATTGAAATTTTTAATAACTTTTATGAATTTATTGATTTATCGATTGATTTAAAATTTAAAATTTTATTCATGATTTATAGAGAGAAGTGTGACTTAATCATGAACAAAACCGTACCTAAAAATCTCTATTCGTTCGTGAGATAATGATTTTTTAAATCAACCTGAATTTTTATTATTTTATGAAGATAACATTTTTTTATAATCATTTTTAAAACAACGCTAAAAATCGAGTTCTTAAGATATCTTAATGAACTATTCACATAACGATCTGCAAATATGTTGTGTAATTAAATGGTATTCATAGAACGAAAATGGATACTATATTAAGTTCTGAAAGCAACTTCCTGCGTAGAAAATGTTCGAACCCGAGTTATTTAAAGGAAAATTGCGACAGCACGTTTGAATTTGTGAAATAACCAGGACGGAAGTCGATGATTCTTAGTTCCAAGAATATCTTTCATTCAGAAATACTCGGGGTTAAACATAGAAATGCCAGGTGGTTAACACAAGTTATGATTTACCGTCACTTTCTCTCATCCTTTTGAGTAAAACACAAGGTAATTTCGATGTTTTCGGAAAAGTCGTTGACGACAGCGATTTAAACCTAAATTATAAATTAGATGGAATTCGAAGAAACAATTTTCAACGTCACTGTCGATCGTGTATGAAAAACATATTAATAAAACGGTACACGGAGTAAAAATTGAAACTGAATAACGAACGATCGTTTAAACAACAATGGAAACGATTTTTTTACGATTTTTTTGTTGCTGGTCGAACAGTGCGAAAACTATTGAAATAAAATTTATGGCCCTTTTTATACTGTGCGGGTGGATTTCGTGGCTCGCACTCGTATAAATTATTTCGGTGTTCGTAAAAATACTTTTCATATTTCATTTAAATTGCTACCAATTTCTGGCAGCGGTCGTATTGAAAATATCGAAACTAGAACCCATTGCTCGACCAAATAGACTGCGAACAACGCGCTGGCTACGTTAATTTACTTCCGATACTATGGTTTCATGGACTCGCCCCGAAATTATCTCGTACATTTTAGTAATTTTCGATTTAGCGAACGCAAATATTCGAATAATGTATGAAACATTCGTTGCCACACCGTAAATCGATACTCCGAACTATTTCCGAGAAGATATTAAACTTCCCCATTGGTTGATTTGCAGAGAAACCAAGATAAAATAGAATACTATTCTTTTTTTTAATCTTTCGGGATTAATTATCGAAATTGTGTTGTATACTGAAATAAAATAATGCCTGTTAATTTGCTAATTAAATGATGTTGAACATAAAATTAACCGCTAATGAGTATCATGCGGAGAAATTTAAATAAATTATCAGTTCGTATAGTGAGTCACAATTAAAACAAATTGAGTCACGTGTAAATTATAATTTCATAAAATCGAATTCCTATCATATTACCATTTTTACGTTAAAATAGGTTAACGTATTGTGCCAGGGAAAACTCTCCACTGTCATTAATTATGCCATACATATATTAACTTTATCCCTATTTGAATTCCCCACAGTTGATTTCGTAGTTGAGGTAATTAAATTTTTTAATTAATCATAATCGCCTCACGTGTAGGGAATTTGCGCATAATGAATTCAAAATTAATAAATAAATTACAAGGGGAAGTCTTTTACGCTGACTGAAAATGATTGTTCTCGATGAATGCACAACATATAAACTTCTATTTCGGTTAAGTGTAAATACAATATGCGAGGATTTGAAGTAGATATATACTAAATCCGCTTCCACAATCCGGAACATCGCTTTGTGGATATTGGGATACGATGTCTCTTGTTCGTTGTCAAATAACATGAAACAAGGGGGGAATTTCGAGGGGTGGTTGAGACTGTCACCTGACGTTTCAGGGAAACCTCCTTGTAGGCGATCTTCCCCTCTTCCTTCTGCTTGTATCGTATACTGAAATGAATTCCAGTCGTTTCCCGGAGACCGGATGTGCATCGATTCGATGAATAACAACATCGCAAGACTCGACGATCCGATACGATCGA